AGCAAAAGAACATCTCAGACTTCCATCCCACAAGAACCAGTCTGGGAGACAGAGACTTGGGAAAAAATGGAATTCATATACCTGAAATCTTCAAGATGATAGCAACTTCAGTAAAGAAACAATTTCATGAGTTTACAAAAGTAACAAAATTGGAAATATTTCATGAAAAGAAATCACAAATATAATGAAAGAACATACTGAAAGAAGAAATAAATAAAAAAGAAGAGCATAAGAATGTAATGGAAACCTTGAATGGACAACATATGAAGAAATTTCAATGTGTGAAAGACAGTCAAAGAGATATCCAGGAAAATGAAAACTCTATGGAAAGTTGACAAAACTGCATGAAAGGGATGCAAGATAAACATTCACACTTGAGGACAATATTGCAGCTAGTGACCATGAAAGAATAGATACCTTGAAAATAACAAGGAACTAGGAAATAACAATTCTTTCACTACAAGAATATGAAAAGAAAGATACTCTAAGAGTGATAGGTTCACCCAAAAAAGCAGCAGGCAACACAAATCATATAAATCACACAAATGACGTACAAGTAGTTGCAAGGAATTTCCCAAGCATGAGAAAAGGAACTCACAGGCAGATCAATGAGGCATGTAGCACTCCAATTCACCATCGCAAATAAATCTACACTCAGACGTATAATAATCAAAGTCCCAGAAGTTCAGTACAAAAATAGAATACTAAAGAATAGAATATTAATATCAGTACAAAAATAGAATAGAATATTAAAGAGAACAGAAATGTTTCCCCTATAAAGCAAAACCAGTCAGAATCATGGCAGACATGTCAACATAAACCCTTAAGTCAAGAAGAGCTTGGAACGAAGTGTCTCAAATCCTGAAAAAAAAAAAAAACATCTTCCAACTCAGATTGATGTGCCCTGCAAAACTATCTTTCAAAATTGATGGAAAAATAAGATACTTCCATTGCAAAGAACAACTGAAGGAATTTGTTACCATGCAACCAACCCTACAAAGAGCACTGAAAGACATTCTAGAGATATAAAAATGACCACAATTCCAGGAAGAGCAGACGGGGATGATCAAACAGGGCAAGTAATTGAATGAAGGGGAAAACTGGGGGTCCAACAGCAGGAGAATGGGATGGCAGAGTTGAGACAATCCATTCTGGTTGTGACCATTAATGTACACTGCCTCAATTCACCAATAAAAAGAAATACAGAAAGAGTTGACCAAGAAACATGATCCATCAATATGATCCATTCAAGAAATGCATTTAACTCAAACAGAAGTTCACAGACTTAAAACTGAAGGGGAGAAAACAGTGTTCCATGCAACAGGAAACCAGAAAAACAAGGGTAGCTTGCCCATAAAACACAGAATGGATATAAAAGATATAACGTAATATTTTCATACAATGGAAAGCTACTTAGCTATAAAGAAGGATAATCACAAGGCTATTGTAGTTAAATGGATGCAACCTGAGATCATGTTTATGGGTGAACTCATATGAGTAAACATTTTATTATGTCCCAGCATAAAAAACTGAAATAGTGGGATCCAAAATGTACAGCAGAGAGTATGAAATTGATGGGCAGGAAACATCTAAAAAGGGAAAATAATAACCACTGTTAACTTCCTGTTATCTTGCTTTGAATTTCTGTATTGTTTTGATAGTTTTGTTAAGTGTGGTTTTATTCTGTCTTATTCTCTTTGATTTTACTCTGTCTGATGGTATGGGCAGCTGTTTGGAAGAAAACGGAATGTATTATGCTAGCCATTGCTGATTTGCTATTGTCTTGTTTTGAAGCCCTGTAATGCTTTCATTTTTTGTTTCAATTGCTCTTGTTTTGTTTGATTCTATTATGTTTGATGGTATGGACAGGCATTTTGAAGATCACAAGAGACATTATGGTACCCATCTTTGATTTTGTTTTGCAGTCCGGTATTACTTTCATTGTTCTGTTCAGATTACCTTTATTCTGTTTTGTTTTTTTGATGTTATTCTCATATAAATAAGTAAATAAATCTCTAAAGGAGCTTAGAAAAGTGATTCAAACAATGAGTACCTAGTGTGGGCAAAAATGGAATCCATGAAACAGAAAGAGGTATCTAGGAGAGTAAAATCCTATTGAAAATATACACATGATCAACCAAAGTGATCACAGAATACCAGATCTAGAATACAAATTAGAAATTAGTAATCATGAAATTAAAGATTTTTTTTAAAAAAGCAAAGAACTATAAATGAATTAAACAACTGTTAGATGATTCACAGAAGTAAGACATTGGTATGACTTGGAGTCTGTAAAGAAGCAGGTGATCATGTAAATCACACAAAAAACCTGTACAGTAATGGAAATAAAAAGGCAAAACTGTAATTTACTGGAGACTCTGTTTAGAGGACACTGAAAAATGTGAAGAACATAGGGGCCATGTGGTAATAGGCGACGGATTGATAAGATCTCAAGAGAAGACAGAAAATAAGGGGCACAAGAGATCAACACAGCTGCTGAGAGAATTTTTTGCATTAAAATTAACTTACATGAGCCAGGGATTTACTCAGTGGCATCAGTGCCTACCTGGCAAGTGTGAGGGCATAAGTTGGATCCTCAGTACAAAAAAAAACCTAAATTTATATTTTTGAAGTGAAAATAGATAATAAAGTTAAAACCATACCACTTTAGGTTTCTTAGTTTTTCTAAGTGTTTTTGCTGGAGTCAGTCTCATTCTCCTTACAAATGTCTATGTCTTTTTTTTTATTTTATTTAAGGAGAAAAAAAAGCAGAGAAAGGGTACATGTTATACAGATTCACAGAAAAAAATAAACAGTAGGAAATCACTAGTTAATGGATTACATATTGTCATCTTAGAAATAATTGTTCAAGTCACAAAATTAAAGCTTGTAAAGTGGACATTCCAACAGTGAGACTGCAAACAGTTCTGTTCAATGATCCAACAAACCTCAGTGATATCATTATCTATCTTATACACTTAAATATACATGGAGTTATATCGTTTAGAGCACTTTCTTTTCCTCTCTTTTGTAAATGACAATTACACATTTTGGGTTTTGTTGCTCCCACAGTTCTTATTACTTTTTTGGAAGGGAGTAGAACCAAATGTGACATAACAGAACAGAGTCAATCAAATCAAAAGGGTGGACATAATAGATAATGTAAAAGCGTAATACAAGGTGATCAACAATGGTTACCATAATGCCTCCCGCTATCTCTAATAGAATTGCCTATATCAACAGTTATAATAAAATTGAACAAAACAGTAAAAGAACAAAACTTACAAAACCAAAACATTGGAGACATTATAGGTCTTCAAAAGTAGATAATAGTCAACGAGAATGGGCGTCATAATGAGTCTCACTATCTTCACAGCTGTTGCCTAAACTTTCAAACCTGGTACTATCAAGCAAAACAGAATAGGGGGACATCAGTCAAAAACAAGATGGTGAGAGTAATACAGGGCTTTAAATCAAGATAATGGAAAGTCAAAGTGGGTTACTATAATATATCCTGCTATTTTTTATTTATTTTTCCCTTAATTAAAAGGACAAAAATAAAAAAGTAAATAATGAGGAGGAGATTGAGATAAAAGAGGGCATAACAATAAAACAGCGCAGATCAAAACATAACCCTTTAAGCAGAATAGTGTTTCACCACAAGATAATCCTGACATAAAAGTAGTTACCATATTGTCTCTTTCCTTGAAATCTTTGAGTATAACTTCGTATATTGTAGCATCAAATATATCAAAACAATGTAAAACCATTTAAGAAAATGACAGCACTACAGGGTATTTAGAATCAACTAACAGAAAATGAACAATGTTTTCTGTATAATCTCCTTGTCTTTAAAAGTTTTTGCTTATACTACCATACATAATAAAATCCAATAAGATACAACCTGTTTAGACCAATGGAGACAGAAGAACAAAAGCTTGAAGAGACTTCAAAACAAGATGATACTAAATCAGTATTACCTATTAAGATGTCATTTTCTCCAAAATTGCTGTTCCTATCATCCAATCTTCTCTGCCTCAATTCTGTTGAGCTCTTTTTCTGTCATTAGTTCTCAGTTTATCTTCTTCATTCTGTTTTCTGCTCCATTCATCAAACGTCTATGTCTTTTGAAGAGTCTTCCTCTTTAGAAGCTCTGAAGATGAAATGAATGTTCTGAACTTCAGTGGTGGCAGAACCAGGTTCTTGTTAACCATAAACTCCTCATGCATATCATACCTCTCTATGCCTAAGACACTTTGCCAGCGCTACTGTGCCTTCTCAGTGGTATTTCAACTTCATCTTAATCACAGTTCTGTAATATTATGCTCTTGCTGATATATTATTATGTGGCATTTTATTAGTGCTTCATACAACAAAATATTTACAAAATCCACCCCAAGTGCAGTGTCCTTTTCAAATTTTCCCACTTATGTTTCATAAAGAAATCATTTATTCTCTATGAATATAGTAACTAGAAAGAGCTTCCCACAATGTAAGTTTTTACTTGCTTCAGTATTAAGGCCTTATACGTACCAACTCTTCCAGAAATCGGTTATAAATTCTGGGTGTTCTTCTTCACATAGAAAACTATTTTATCTCACATGGATGCGTATAAATGTACCATCAACTCCATATATAAAAGAAAATGTACTTCTGTGTTGCAGTTGTTCACCTAAGCAGTTAAGGAGTCTCTCATGGCTGTCATATGCATTGAAGTTGTATTAATATATCCTCAAAGGACAGCAGTAGGTAATAGTTTCTCTCTGGTGTACAGTAAGGGTGTAAAAACTCAGCCAGGAAAACTTCATGCACATAAACTAATTTCAACAGCAGTTATCTCTCTAAAATAAATTTTCTCTGACCATCACATTCAGCTTTAGGGTCTAAGAATATGAATTGGGGGAAGGAGCAAACTTTCAACTCAAAAATGATGTTGCACTGCATTGGAATGCAATCAGAGGTTAAGTCTTTTCCTAACTACTTCTGTCTTCTCCCGACAGGATTATGCCCCTCAACTACCAGACTGCTCTCTCTTTCATTTTTGCCATAGAAGAGATCAACAGGAATCCTCATCTTTTACCAAATATATCTCTGGGATATGAGTTTCATAATTTACTTCCCTCTTATTGGAGGTTATTGGAGAGTTTCTTCATTTTGCACACGGGGCAAAATGAAATGCCCAATTATACCTGTGGAAAAGAGAGTAAGTCTGTAGCCTTACTAACAGGAACATCGTGGGCAACTTCTACTCAAATAGGACCATTGCTGGAACTTTACAAGTTTCCACAGGTGAGGGTGTGTGTGTGACAGAAATTGATAAAATCATATCATAATTCTCTTGTTTCTCAGGTTCTTAAGGAAGGTGAATGGAGGAACTGAGCTTGAGAATCACTCAAATTGCATAGTGTCAGTGAGTAATCATATGCTGAGATTTTCAGGCTACACCTGACTGTCTCCAGCAGTAAGGACGGAGAGACGAAAGCAAAGAACTTTCCTGGATCTCTGGGTCACTTCGCTTGTTTTAAAAAATAAGGATCTTAGGGGATACCACAGAAGAAAAGAATGTACATTTCCTTATAAAGTTCGCTCTAGTCACTTAATAGTCTTCAGTACCAAGACTGGTTGACATCAACTCTCATCAAATGTCTTCCAATTTTCTTTCTGCTTTTAGCTTTCCTTTGGCTCTTTTGATCCTATGTTCAGTGACAATGGCCACTTAACATCTGTCTATCAGGTGGCAGCAAAGGACACATCTCTGGTTCATGGCATGGTCTCCTTGATGCTTCATTTCAGCTGGACCTGGGTGGGAATAATCGTTGCTGAAGGTCATAAAGGCTTGCAATTTGTCTCAGATATCAGAGGAGAGGCAGAGAAAAGCAGAGTCTGCATAGCATTTGTGAAAATGATCTCAAGTTCTTATGCATCCTATTTCTTCCATATAGAGAAAAATATCATAGCCCAGGAAGCATCACCAGTAAATGTGGTTATCATTTATTATGATACAGACAGTCTAAATCATGTAAACTACTATATACAGTTGCATTTAGTGACTTGGAAAGTCTGGGTGACAAATTCACAATGGCATGCTGATGTGGCTGGGAGAAACTTCATTCTTGATACATTCCATGGGCTTCTGATTTTTTCACATCACCATGAGAAGATTTCTGGTTTTAAGGACTTTATCCAGAAAGCCACCCCATCCAAATATCCAGAAGACACTTTTCTCAGTCTGTTTTGGTTCCAGAATTTCCATTGCTCATTGTCTGAATCCGACTGTTCCCTGAAGAACTGTACACCGAATGCCTCTCTGGCTTGGCTTCCTGAGAATATTTTTGACCCAGTCATGAGTGACTGGAGCTACAACATATACAATGCTGTGTATGCAGTGGCCTATGCCCTGCAGGAGATGTTTCTTCAACAAATTCAAATGCCCCCAATGGAAGATGAAGGGATGTTTTACCCTTGGCAGGTAATGTATTGCTATTGGATAGCAGGTCCAATTATCACAGTCATTTTTAAGGTGTTTTACAAGTGCTAAGCAAGCAGGCAAAATCTTGTTTCAAAAATTCAAGAGATTATGCACTGGTTTCACTGTTGAGGTAAATTTTGAGCTTCAAATGAATAAACAGCACTCCTTTTTTAAAAAAAGATGTCAGTGTTCTTCCATGACATTTTCAATAAAATTTAACCTTTATTATAGTTTTTAAAAGTACAATCTATTTAAACTTTTTTACTAAAATAGTGTTAGAAGTGGTACTAAATAGATTATCATTTTTACACATTTTAATTGTACAAATGCTTGAGTATTTATAACTTAATTATGAAGGCAGATGCTGTGGGGATAGAAAGTGGGCTTGGAAATGTTTGATATCTTTGTACACCATCTATTTAGATGGACCTGGTAAGAATATTATGTCTCAAAGCTATCATTTAGGAATATTGTGGTATTTTTGCATTTCACACACTGGTTTACCTGGTGACTATTTTAAAGTCTAAATATGAAGTGATGAATAAAGACTTTCCCACATTCACATTTTGCATTTTGAAATTGGAATCCATTTTTTTCATAGCATTATGTGTCTCTTTCAGCTGCACCCTTTTATGAAAAGCATCCAATTTACCAGTCCTGCTGGAGAGCAAGTAAATTTAGACTTGACAAGAAAAGTGGATGCAAACTACAACATTGTCAACCTGTGGAATTTTCCAGAAGGTCTTAGACTTAGGGTCAAAGTAGGAGAGTTTTTCTCTCATTCACAATTTGGACAGTATTTGGCTATATCTGAAGATTTGATAGAGTGGGCCACAGAAATTACAGAGGTATGGGACCTAAACATCCTTCACGGTAATAAAATAAGTACAATATAGTTCATTTTTGTTTGTCAATGATGGACACATGTGAAATGTTACCATTCATATTTAATGTTCAGAATTTGTGGTTTTCTCCTTTTTGTGCCAGAGTTCATACTCACGGCCTTACACTGGTCAGGCAGGATCTGTGCTGCTGAGCAATATCCATGGCCCTTGTCCACTTTTGGATTAATGACATAAAACCCAATAGCTTAACTATTTTTAAATGAATATCCATGTTTTGAACATTAAAGAAACTCATCAAACAAATATTCAAATTAATGTATTCATACACTTTAAGTTCATTGCTGTGGTTATTGAGGATTCAGTTAAATACTTGGATGTTATCAACACAAATCTGAATTTCTCCAGCTTCCCCATTCTTCATGCAGTGAGACCTGTCACCCTGGATTCAGGAAATCCTTGCAGGAGGGAAAGCCTGTGTGTTGTTTTGTTTGCACTCCTTGCCTAGAGAATGAGATTGCCAATGGTACAGGTAAGAATTTAAAAAATGAACTATTCTCCACCATTCATTTTTCTCCCACCAACCAAGAAATGTCCAAAAAACTCTAAAATAAAAAAGAAAGGCAACATTCTTTCTTGCTTAATTTATCAATTTAAATCCAACACCCGTTTTGTTGCAAAGCATGTATTGCGGATATAGATAGGCATGTCTTTGGATCGCAGCAACTCACGGTACAGTATCAACTCAGGTTGTAGGGTTTTAGCCATAATCTCTTGGAAGTTCCAGAATATTGGGGAGACAACATTTGAGACTGTAATAGTGTAAATCCATAGTGTTTATGTTTTTAAATATTTATGACTCTAGGACTCACACTGCACGAATGCCTTCATAACACTCTTCTTCTTGTCCATGTGCTTATTCCATCGTTCTTGGCCCCCGTACAAGCAGTACCAGAAATCCTCCTTTACTTGGGCTATTGTGTCTTCCTTGGTGTTCTGCAGTGATTTCAAATGATTAATTTTCCAAATCCCATGTTTCCCTGAACATAAGACCTTCTAGAGACTGAAGGTTACAGCCCCAATCAGTGTCCCCTCACTTTGATTACATTTGTGAAATAGCCACTGAGCAGGGACCAAAAATGCATCATCTACTGCAGGACACTGGCCCTCACCATGGCAATGTCCTGAATATGTTTTATTTTGGGGGAAACGTAGTCATTCGACTTTGAGAAAGAGACAGAAGTGGCACTGGAGTCGATCTAGCAAATGAGGTGTTTGAGGACCCACCATATTTTTAAACATCTCTTTTATATGGAAAAACAGGGCAACAGGGCTCACTGAATATTTGATCAGAGCTCATAAAAGGACTCACAAAAGGCATCTTTCAGATTAGACTGAAAGAGTGATTAAAACTGAGGAATAAGTGTGTGTTAATTAAGGGGGAGTGTTTTGATAGAAAACATGAGAATTATTCTCTGTAATGATTTTTAAATGATAGCATTAGACATAGTTTTCAAATACCAGTTTTATAATACCATAAGTTTTGTTGGTTTCACAGATTTACAAGAATTGTATGAACACAATTAATATAATTCAGTTCATAATCATATCTGTAGCTCTGAATAGGGGATCATAAAACTTTTCCCAGTGGCTTGAGCACCAACACTGTATCAGACGAATGAATGGTGAGATCAAACTTGTTGATTAAATGAAGTGGCAAAGATGGAAAATTTCCAATTTGTATGGTGGTGTTATCAGGAGAGAGAACCAGTTTTTCTGGTTCTTATTGTCCTATTCAATGAATTTTTTTCCCAACCACCGGTGAGTGTGAAAGGTTTCTGTTTCTTTGGGGCAGAAATAATAAGAAAAACAAAAGAAACATAAAAGAGGTGCTCAAAGAGATAAAGGTCTTTTGATAGAAGAAAGACAAGATGTGTCCTGTCTGAAGAGTGAACACCTCCACAGACGTGAGAGTAGCATCACAAATTCAGTTGCTGCATTTTTTTCTGTGCTTCCTCAATAGTTGGTAAAGTGACACCACTGGAGTTTGTTATGAGATTTGCACCAGGTGCCAGGCTCAGCTTGCTCTCCTATCAGCCTAGGAGCTGCTGCATGCACCTGTGGTTCAAAAGTCTCTTCAGCTGGCAGGTCCCGCCCTTGATCTCTTATCTCATTAGGTGGAGTGCATCAATGAGATTCAATTTAATTTTTTAAAAAGTAGTGCATATGGGGTCAGTATTGCAGCATTGTGAGGAAAGATGAAGCAAACCAATATTGAAGATTTTTGAGTACCACAATTATCACTTTGAAAATAATTAAATTTGTAGTAATAAATCCTCAAATGGCGAAAATACCTATCTACTGCATTTTTAAAAATTATTTCTGTTGCTGTTATATACTTCAACTCATAATGTACTTGGATTAATTTTGTATTAGACTTTAAATGCAATAAAATTGATTACCTAGGATATCATCTAGTTAGTTTGTGTACATCTATTCAGACTGGGATATATGGCACATATGTGCTCATGTGCACACACAGAAAAATGCATCAAAAAACTCAGAGACTCAATGCTTCTGGTTGAATAAATACATATTTTAGCAACATTTGCTTTATAGAAGGTATTAAAACAGAAATGCTTAATATCTTCTATTGAAAATATTACTTGGCAAACCTTGTGAATTGAAGCTAAATCTGTGTTTAGAAACAAAATATAACTGATATATACTTATGCGCTATTTATACATATTTGAATAAAGAAAAGCTGAAATTCTGATTTTGAAAGTATTATGAAACACAAGCTAAGAGTCAAATAAATACAAAGAAGGAAATACAATGACAAAATAATTTTAATAGAATGAATACCTACATTAAACATATAACACAGATAAATTGAATTCTGATAAAAACTATTAATAAGCTTTGAGATGTTTGATCAAGAAAAGGCAAAAAATTACAATAGTAAAGCATAACTACAGAGCAATTGATCCCTTGTACAAATACAAGGGAAAAAATTCATGTGGCAATACTACATGAAGAATTTCATGTCAACATCTGAAAATTTACTTGCAACCTTCAAATTCACAGGAAAATAACAAAGCTGTCCTAAAATGAACACTACACTCAGTGTTAGGTCTAGTAACAAAATTGAGCTTATAGTTTCATAATCTCCCAAAGTGATCATGGTAAGTTTCATTCATGCATTTAATAAGCACTCAAGGGCACAGTAATGCTGATTACACAAATTTCTTTAATGGAAAGGAAATGTATATTATAATTCATTATACATAGAAGGCTGAAAGTTTTTATTGCCTGACAAAAATGGCCCTGAAAACAAAATACCTGTCCTGAAGAAATTTCTACTCAGAAACATGATTTACATTGTTAGGAAGCTAAATAATAACAAGACTAATGAAGTGATAAAAACATAATACACATGAATATCTTTTCATAATTTACAAATATTAAAAATAATTATTTTTACTAAATTAAAAGGTGAAAACATTTTTGCTTCCATAAGTATTTACAGTATCCAAAGTTAACACCATATTTTGTGGCTCAAATATGAAGCAAGAATGGACACAAGTTTTCCATATGGCCTCTTTGATCATAGACAGCTAATGATTTATGACCAGAAAAATAATTACTCATGAAATACGCTCAACAATGTTCATTATAAGAATATAGCTTTCTTTTTTTAACTAATTTTTTAATGGATAAGAGAGATATTGAGATAAAAGAGGACATAACATCATAACAATACAGATCAAAGCATGATAGTTTCAGCAACCTAGTGCTTCACCACCAAATAACCCGACTTAATAGTAGTTACCATAGTGTCTTTTTCCTTGAAATATTTGAATATAACTTTGTATACTATTGCATCAAACATATCAAGACAGTGTAAAACCATTCAAGTGGATGAAAGCATTGTAGGATATTTAGAAACACCTAACAGAAAACAAACAATGGTTTCTATATTATCTATTTGCCTATATCAATTTTTTTATACTATCACATATAATAAAATCCAGCAAGATAGAACATGAAAAAAACCAATGGAGACAGAAAAGACATAGTTTGGTGGGGCTTCAAAACAAGATGATATTAAATCAGCACTAGCTATTATGATGTCTTGTTTTCTGCAAAATAGCTGTTCATTTCATCACAGGCAATAATATCAAGCAGCCCAAAATAAAGCCATTCCAATTAATAAGTAAAAACTTCATAAGGCTTCAAGGCCACATAATAGGGGATCATGATTACCACATACTTTTATATATTTGAATAATTTCTTAAACTAGGGAAACTATTCGGTATTCACACATGCAAGTTTGATGTATTTCACTTATGAGAATGCTTTCAAGCTGCACCCATTTGTTGATAAGTATCTCAATGTGATCCTTCTTTATAGCTGAGTAGTATTCCATTGTATAAAAATACCACAATTTTTATATCCATTCCTCAGTTGGTGGACACTTGGGTTGTTTCCAAGATCTGGCGATTACAAATTGTGCTGCTATAAACATAGGTACGCATATTTCACTGTGGTATGATGCTTTCAGTTCTGCTAGGAATATGCCTAAAAGTGGAATAGCTGGAAGAAATGGGACTTTCAATCCCAGATTTTTGAGAAATCTCCAGACTGACCTCCGCAAAGATTGTACCAGTCTACATTCCCACCAACAGTGTAGGAGAGTTCCTTTTTCCCCATAGCCTCTCCAGCATTGGTTGTTGGTGGTTTTCTTGATCCTGGCCATTCTTTCAGGAGTGAGATGGAATCTCAGTGTGATTTTAATTTGCATTTCTCTAATGACCAATGATGATGAACATTTTTTCCTGTATTTATTTGCCATTTGTATTTCTTCATCTGAGAAGTGTGCATTGATCGCAGATGCCCATTTTTGGATTGAATCTTGGAATTCTGGGGGTCTGAGTTTTTTTTTATTCTTTATATCTTTTAGAAAAATGTCCCTTGTCTGAAGGGGAGTTCACCAAGATCTTGTCCCAGTTTGTGGGTATTTTTTTCACTATGCTGGAGGGTTATTTGACATGCAGAAACTTTTAATAAGAGGTGGTCCCAGTTATTGATTCTGGGAAGTATTTCCCATGCAGTTTGAGTCCTGTTCATGAATTCTCTACCTATCCCTATGTCTTCAAGGTTTCTATGCAATTTGTCTTCCAATAGATTTAGTGTTTCTGTTTTAATATTCAGATCTTTGATCCATTTAGATGTTAATTTACTACATGGTGATAGGCATGGGTCTAGCTTTAGTTTTTGGCAAATGGAGAGCCAGTTTTCCCAACACCATTTATTAAAGAGACTATCATTCTTCCATTGAACATGCTTGGCTCCTTTAACAAAGTTAAGGTGGTTGAGTGTGTTTGTAGTTGTGCTTGTATCTTCTAAACTATTCCATTGATCCTTGGCTCCGTTTTGATTCCAGTACCATGTTGATTTTACTACTGTTGCTTGGTACAATAACTTCAAGTCAGGGATTGTGATGCCTCCTGCCTTGCCTTTGCTGCTT